CAGAATTCTAACCCCTTGACATCTAAATATATACAGTAGGACTTCAAAAATATGCGAATTCCTGTAATTCGTGGAGTATTTGTATTCCGTGACTCCTGCCATAATCCGTGGGGACATTGATCCTGAAACCTGCAAAAAAAATCACGGATTTCTGGATCTCTTCTGAGCGTGGCTCATTCCTCCCATAATTCGACACATACTGCATTGGTGCGAAATATTTTCCGCACAATACGGGACAACCTACAAGGTAAGCCTTGGATTAGAAGATCCGTGATAGGGTTCCCCAATATCATCATGGACTATTGGTGTCCTACTGTGCAATGACTTTCACCTGCTCATCAACTATCATCGCCAAATATATTAGTACAATACTGATGTCCCCTTAAGTATTTAATGACAGTATAGAGCACATAATAACAATGCAAAAGAGCCAAGGCTAAAACAGTGTTGACCTGTCAACGTTCATGATATTGCCAAGTTACTAGGCTCCACCAGACTTCACCTCTGCCAGGGAAAGCCATTATAACCTTAATCACTGCAAAATGGACTCTCGAGAAACATCTTTCAAACAGAGTGCTCGGTATTTTTACAGTTGTGATGGTAAAGGGGTATAGCCACAAAACCACTTCGTGGTATTTAATTCTGTTATTGGACACTTACAAAAATTAAAGCGAAGATATATATATTTTTTTTAAGTTAGGGTGAAAGCCATCTCATCAGCATCATGATCATCATCCATGCTCAATGCACTGCTAGAGGAAAGCCGTTGTCATCTGTCACAATCCTAGGATTTGTAACAATTCTCCCAGCAACTACACACGAGCAGCTTTCACCCAGCCACCCCCACCGCCCTCATCTCCTCAGTGGGTACACTGTCGAATGTCTTCCATTGCTTGGCTGCCATCCCCGTCACTATTCTTGTGCGGGAATAAATGTTGTGTTTACACGTTCGACGCAAAAGTCACGAGATGGTTAGGGGCCATCCATAAATGACGTCACGCGATTTTAGACGATTTTTTACCCCCCCCCCCTCGTCACACGGCGTCACAAAAAGTCAGACCCTCCCCTCAAATATGACGTCACAAAGCTCTGCCCCCCCCCCAAACCATATTTCCATTTTGAAAATAAAACATGCTTCAAGTCGCTTTAAACTATTGTCATTGTAGTGCGTATTTAATGTGGCGCTGCACTCTGGCGTTGTAGGAGTGTTGTTATAACAAATAGTGTTGTTATAACAATTCTATATTTATATAAAGTTGCGCATTTTGATGTGACGTCACATTTCTCAAACCCCCCTCCCTCGTCACACATCGTCACAAAAATCTGACACCCCCCCCCCCCCCAGGTGCGTGACGTCATTTATGAACGGCCCCATTCATTCGTAATTTTTATTTCAGTCATCTGATGTGCATTCGTGTTAAGAGACAAAACATGACAGGTTAAACATATAAAAAATATATTAACTACCTTAGAGGAGGTGTATACAGTCACCTGTGTACGAACTGTCTCGATATCGTGCACACACATACGAAAGTATATTAATATGCGTCATTAGACATTGTTTGTCCAATGCTGGGTGAAGACTTCCCCATAACATCGCCAGCCTTCGCGCTTCTATGATGCCACAATCCGTCTAAACTCCTCCGCAATAATGTATTTAATCGTTCCATCTCCACAGCGGATATTCTCTTGGGCACATTCTCTCTCGCTGCTGCCATTTCATTATTGAGCTTGACAAATCACAAGAAGGGATGATGGTCCGTGGTTGAGACCGGTGATATTTATATATTACAAAGCACAAACGAGGTAAAGTTTCCCCATTGGGCATTGCCTGAATGGACCACGCGTTTAAAATTACCATGTGCGATTGTTGGGGCAATAAAACAAAAAAAAACTCAGCCAACGCGAGTTTCACCAAGGCATTCACTGTGATGAACCCCAAAACACAGACTTCCATTGTTTATATTGCAAACTTAATCAGCAACATACAGGTCCAATTATTTTCTCAATCAGTCTCCCCACACAATATTGGCTTCAAAAGGTCAAGTCCGGAAAAAATGTCAACGGCTGTAAAAGCGTTAACACATTTGTGTATATATATTTAAAACAAAAAACATGCAATATGTTTGCAAGGTTAGCACAAGTAAGCAAGTGCTACAATTGCAAATGTGTCGCAGAGAGTTTGAAAGTGTTTTATTTTTTTTATACTTTAAGAGGAAGCGCTGAAAAAAGATACTTAAACCTATGAAAACAGCGTGCGGTTCTCAAGTATCACATATTCCATTGAAAGTTTCTTGGTAAAATAATATCAAATGCCAGACTGACGTAATTACATTTTTTTTTCAGTTGTGGCCTTTACTGCTGCCTTACAAAAATATACTGACGTAACTTTATTACAATTTATTTACAAAGAAAATAACCACCACTGGCATCCATTTACAGAAGTAAAAACTCAGTCACTGGAAGCAGTAGCAAAATCCGTATTGTAAAAGTTAAAGAATACAGAATTGCTTATGTTCAGTAATAAAAATGGGTCGGAGCACCCCGGAACGCCGTTATAGGAGTGAAAATGTTGACCCGACTGGGTCTGTCTATCACAGCTAGACTAACAAAGACCCTACAGACACGCTCGGAGACCCGCAGACCTGCACAGAGACCCACATACACACCCATATACCCACAGACAAACACAGAGACCCACAGACACGGTCACAGACCAAACGACACGCTCAGAGACCAAAAGACACGCTCAGAGACCCACAAATTCACAGAGACCCGCAGACGTACACAGAGACCCACACACGGAGCGAAGCTCCCCCTCCTCCTCCTCCTGAGATTTAGTCTGCGGTCTAGGTCCAGTGGGGGTGGAGAGAATAATTTATGAGTTCCCCCAGTAAAATTCTGCCCATTTCCAGCCCTGCTGATGTTCTTCCCTGCCATGGGCAATATAAGGAGCCAAGAATACTAAGCACCTGCAATGATGGTTGTTTACATAAACAAGGTGACATGCGAGGCTCTCTCATGCGCTGATTGCAGAGTTAGTCGAAAGAAGTATGCTCCGTGATCCCATATGGAATACAGTTTTGATATGAATGTGGAATCTTTTATGATTTCCCAAGCATTGGAAAATGTCAAGCACAGTGGTGACTTCTTATGACGTCCCCTCGTCACACAGTTAGGACAACTATATTTATTCAGCTGCAGTGGAAAATGTTTCACAATTTAAATGCCGAGTCTATACAGTAAATGAAATTAATCGCCCCGCACTTATTTAATTAATTAAAATAAAACGTCTGAAATAACTCCCATGCTACAGCCCACCCAAGTGCAAACTATATACAGTACCCATGGAAACTTCTAAATACTGCTAGTCCACGTTTCACGTTAAAGTGGGGAAACGATTATTGGGTAGAAAGTAGCAAAGTATGTACGGGATTTTGTCAATCCAATGCTGGATGAGGATCACCCCATGCTTTGCTGGCCATGACTATTATTTGGTTACCCATCCAAGCACTATCCAAGCCAAATTATATTCGGGTTCCATGATCGGTCACGTTGCAGATGACATTGGGTCACAGGCATCGCCAAATTTAATGCAGCCTAATTAACAATGACACTTTTGTACATCCATTTTTTGTAATGCAAAGCAGGCCTTTTACGTAATGAGTTATATCTTCCGTTATCGTTTCTCAAACAGTGAAGCACGCTTGAAATTACCTTGAGAGAGTAAAAGTAGGACACGTGGATTAGAGAATATAGGCAGGTTAATGACATCAAACTGTTATATATAAAAAAAAGTAAATGGGTTTTAGTAGGACACGTCGTGGCTAGAAGGGATGAAGACAGATGATCAAGAATAATGAACGCACCCAAGATGATATGGAGCACAGTAATCAGATATTGTGCAGTCGATTGGTGAACTGTCATAATTGCAGGATCGCGCGAGATGGAAGCAAATTGGAGGGGCCTTCGTCATCCAGCAGCAGACTGATCATGACTGTGCCTTAAGTGCTGATTTCCGTGGCCACGAAATCGTGTTTTTGTTTTGACTCACTAAACATAGCGTATAATCCTTTACTGCATCTCTCCCTTTTAGGCATTGTGTGAGCCATTATTTCCCCTTCCTAAGCTCCGTGTTCTCATTGTTGTCCTTCTTTTACAAATCTCTCTCGCTCCCTCTCGCTCTCTCTGCTCTCCTGGTGGCAAATGTGTTTGTACGAGTGACCTCTTTGTTAGCCAGAAACCGAACGCGTGTACTCGATTGACGCGCGGCTCTCGTTTTCAACACGTCTTTGTGCGAGGTGGCTTTCATCCGTATCAGCTGGGACGATGCAAGCGAGTGCGCCCGCGCGCACTTGCACAATCCAAAGAGCGCAATAGCGGCGAGCTGCAACTGCGGTGCCATGGGTGTTGCGATGGGTCCTTTTGTGCTGCACCGCCGACAGTAGCAATAGTACATCAATAGCAGTGACCTGCGGTATGGCAATAACCTTATTCAAGCACGGTAACGCGATGGAGCTGAATCAATGCCCCCCGCCCCCCTAATCGTGCCGCACCATCTCCCGATGCAAAAACAAAGAATTTCGCGATATTTGACGACGTGGATTGATCTCAGTGCTGGAACAACCCATGTGTCCTATGATGAAGGGGCCGTCGCCCGAAACGTCACCTCGCACATCAGTGTCCTTTTAAGCCAGCGAGTGCTGTTGGTGTACAAGTTTGAGCTGGGAGTTTTGTCAGCGGTGCACCAATTCAGCTGCACGGCACGTGATGATTGTGAATCTAAGCGCTTGCCGCACGACCCTGTAGCGCAGTGACAATGGTCCTGCAGGCACGCGTGATTGAATGTGATGCGAATCAAAAAGCCAACGCGTCTGTGATGTGCGCCGAGTCGGTGTGCATCTGTGCAGCAGTTTGGAGGAGAGAGGCGCATGGCTTGTGGTGGTGGTGATGGTGGTTAGTGGGTCTGGGTTTTGCCGGCAGACAGGGAAACAACTCACAGGATGGTGGTCTGTGGAGCCACTCCGACGGGTATGGTCTCGAGCATGAGGTGCATGCACCTCACCGTCGTTCGGAAACAGAGGCAGCGGCTCGGGCAACCCTGCACGCCGGTGCTTTGCAGGACGAAGACGGCCAACAGCAGACCGAGCAGGAGACTCCGGACGGCCCCCCATTGAGGACACATTGCTGCCCCGTCCTTATCGCCCCCCCACCCCTTCTCCCCTTACGCCTCTCCTTCTCTTTCACTCCCGACTCCTCTCTGCTCCGTATTCAATCAAGAACCCCGCTTCCCCCCACCCACCCAGCCGCCACCACCCCGGCCACACCGTGGTGGAGGATTTCCAATGGACCCCCACCCCCCTACCGTACAAAGTGGTTGGTCGTTTGGAGAAGGAAGCAGGGTTTTCACAACAACCTAAAAGTATCCCTCTTTCTTCAATGGCAACTCCAAAAAAAGTTAACTCCGGTCGAAACTCGAGAGACAGAGAGAGACTCCGCCTTTAGTCCCGCCCCAACAGAGCCATTGCCCCGCCCGTGCCCATTCAGGATGCAGGAGTCGTCATCGTATGGCAGTGACTCACAAAGGGACCCAAGACAAAATTGTTTAAGGCTTTGCCTCCACACACCACCACCCCCCCCTCTTTTATACTCGGTCTAAAACAAGTGGGTTCGTGTTAACTCATGCCGTAGCCTTTGCACCCCTTTGGTTCTCAATCGTACAAAAAAAAGTTAATAAATATAAACTTGATTTGAATAAATATAGGTTTGATGAAACGTGCATTTCTAAAAAAAAAAAAATCTGGCATGTCTTGCACCTCCAGAAAGGGCATCTCGCACCCACAGGGGGTGCATGCACCCCAGGTAATAAAAAAAACCACTGGTCGAATATATGAAAACATAAAATGTTATTTTAGTCCAAACAACGTATTGGCTATATTCTTGGTTCTTTCGGTAAATTCACGTAGATAGAAAACTAAAAAATATATTTTTTTTTTAATAAAAATATTATTTTCAATTTATTACTTGTGTTTATTTTTATTTTCATTGTATTTATTTTTAGTTTTCTATCTACGTGACTTTACCGAAAGAACCAAGAATATGAATTCCTGCAGTCACGAAAGTTTTAAGTCAAAATTCAACGTATTGGCTTTCGCGGTTGCAGACCAATACTATCGAGTGGCATTTGTTTAAGGAGGCAAATTCCGGACCGGTTTCAACTTTATGGGTGTCATGGGCAGTCAGGCTTGTTGAGAAAATGGTGATGGATTACCAGATGTTATCGGAAAAGAGCACTCCTATTATAAATTATGGGCCTCTGTTCAACGCCAAAAGCAATATCGTACACAAAACTCATTGTGCTTTGACTTGCAGGATTCTTTTTTTAAACAAGTCTTACAGCTCAGACCCGCAAACGCTGTTGAATAGCATTGGTCTGTAAAGCCAATAGGCTGATAGTCGAAAGCGTATACTGTATAATTGTATTCATGCATGGAGACAGAACGAAGTTAGGCGAGGTTTATAACATCGTCAACAGAGCAGTCTCTTCACCTCGGGGACCAGCTGTTCGACATATCCCACTGTGACCAGCGAGCTACTCGTGAGCTTTAGGAATGTCAGCAATGGCTACAGATCCTCAAGACGTGATTATTAGCCGTGCCCCACCTGCTTTCACGATACCTAAATGACTTCTCTGGCTGTGGAGGGAATGATGGGACTTGTGTGCGCATGACTTAACACACATTAACGGTGCAATTCGGGATGTGGAGTGATGGTGTTGCGTGGCCTCCAAATTTTTGTTTTAATGGTGCAAATAAGAGTTACTGCGTTGCGACTTTTTAAAATTAGAACCAGTAACACATTTGGGTAACCTGGGTAAAGCTGGCCCACGTGCGTACGAACATCCCTATTTGTCAACACAATGCTACACGAGGGACTCCGTTCCAGCAAGGGTAAAGTTTTTTTTAGGTACATTAATCCCAGACAGTACAAAACATAAACATTTTGGTAAAACAGCACCAGTTATAATATAATTTTATGATCAAATAACTGAATACATTTCATACAGCCAAGAGAAATCAAACACATCGAACACTGGGTGCACACTGCAGAAGTTTCCCACAAGTATCCACAATCCAACAAAAGAATCACCAAGTTAGAGCCTACTAGAATGCAGATGCAACTCTCAAAAAGTGAGTTTGCTTCATTGTGCATAAGCATTTATGTAAATGTACTGCACAGTATTGACTAACAACGCTCTTTATATCATTAGATATCACCAGCTAAGCAGTGTTCAACCAAAAAAAGTGCTTGGGTGAGTGACCACTATGCATAACAGGTGTTATAAGATACACAACACAAGGCAGTGAAGCAAACTTCTATGGCCACCTTTTCCATGCTGCACGCCTTCACAAACTCAGTGACAAGTGTGGTGAAATATGGTTAAAACATCCCCATGGCATGGGAAGGCCCCTCAGTCGTGGAGCAGGTAGTACTAATTGTAACATTTACAGTCCTGTCACTCCACTACTGGATGAAAGCTTCACCACACCGTGTCAGTTACGAGGGGTGTTGGCCATACATCACCCAGCTTGTCAGTGCGGGTTGGTGAAGAAGGGGGTCCCCGGAACAGTGGAGACAAAAACTCACCACTGATATGAGCCACACATGACCTTGAAATCAAACTCGGGTCAGCGGGCTGACTGCAATGCGCTAACCACGACACCGGTGCTATAATCCTCTATTATAATACTTTCAAGTACTTAATTCCGATTAAATAAAAAAGTACTGCACGATTCTTTTTTCACAATGAAAAACACTATGCTTAGATGGGCGCCTCATGTTCCCGTGATGTCAGGCATTCTTCGACCATATGTTGCTGTTTACTTCAACCAGATTGGCGAGTCAGGTCAGGGGATATAATAAACACATTTGCTATGCCGTAACTGTCGAGATTCCCCACCACTCTCCCTGCCACAGTGGTTGGCGGTGAGTCACCAAAAAATGTTCCCGGCAGCTGTTGCAAATGGAAACTTGTGGAGCGTGTGCCTAACTTTAGAGAAAACAATCGTTCAAACAACCATGCTTGTTACGGAGAAATATGCAGTCGGTGCACATGTAAAAATATAACAGGTGCATACATTTCAAAGTTATTCAGCACCTTGGCAGTTGTTAATGTTGTGCCTCAGGATTATGCACACTGCAGACAACCGAGAGGGTGGTGAGATCGATGTCAATGCTGCTCCAGGTCCTTGTGGTCAAGGATTTAGTAAGGTATTTGTCCAAGTTCCTCCAGAATGCGCTTCCGTTCCTCTGCAGTCGGAATGGCGGGTTCCACTCCTTCGCCTCGGCGTCTCACTATAATTTTGTTCTGAAACAGAGATTTTATTTATTTTAAAACTGTATATATGTATTTCATATTGGGTGCAGGGCAGGGTAAGGCAAATATGGTTTTGCGACATGCAATTGGTTCAAATGAATGAAAAAAGTAACTCACCCAAAATGTCCTGCAGTTTCTATATTGTAAAAAGTATTGTGTGCATACGTCTCTGTCGTAGGCATTTTGTTCCATGCACTTCCGGGAAGCATCAGTTTCCTTTGAAGCATATTAAAGTCTTATTACCATGAATATGAACCAATTATGTCAATTCACAAAGATTTACAGCAACTGTACCAGGCATAATGTCTTGACAGAATACATTATTTTAAAATAAACAATTAAAATTGTGAATATTATTTGCAATATAATACAATGTTCCACCATCGGAGCAAAATGTTTGTACTTTTAAGCATTTATGTTACCTCCCACACTCAATATCAAAATAAAACTTCCCAAATGGCCAAATTAGAGAATCAACAAAAATGTCGTGTACCCTATGGGTTAAGATTTAAATATTCCAAAGTAATGGCTTTTTTTAAGGCCAGTGAAACAATGTATGTAATATCCTCTTAGAATTATTTGACATTTTCTTATACAACATATGATTAACGTCAATGAAGTGATGCACTGCCTTGGTACTGTTACCTCCAGACACGGGTTTATATCCACATCTCTCAACTTCCTGAGCTTCGACATCCTGAAGTCACCTGATATTCACACGCCCATAAATCATGACGAGGGTTGACATCCATTCGTAACATTGTGATCGGTAACATTTTCTTTGTTCAACCGATAAATGTTGTAAAGCAAATGCAAAGTTAAATCTTGACTTGCAGGAATTCATAATGTTTGGGTCTTTCGGATAAGTCATGTAGATAGGTTGAAAGAAAATAACCTATCTACGTGACTTTAACGAAAGACCCAAATAATATGAAATGCAAAGTTGCCACTGAAAGCTGGTGACTTCACAACAAATACCACTTGTACTCTTGTCTAAACACTGGTATTTACTGCACATCTGTACTAGGGACATACTCCTACATAGGTTTTTCATGATTATGCTGTATAGCTCTCCCGATGTGTTTTTGGTTGCACGGCATGTTGTTCAGTTTGATGTTCGACGTTTTGCTGCACACGCTGGGTGCTTCGTCAGGAATTGATTTGGAGAAACTGAATTGTAGCTCTTAGCATGCGCACCAAAATGTTGGACAGCATGGTAAACCAGAAAACATATAGGAGAGCAATATGAAATCGTGGAACGAACGATGCCTCAATAATTATTCTATCAAAAGGGTGATACACCGACCTGAAGACTTACAGATCCATTAAACTTATTACGGCATAAAACAAAAAAACTGAGTCTCATTTGGAACAGAACAATTACGTCCAACCAAGCAGATGGGCAAGCCAAGTTGAAGAAATAATTGCCTACATTGATCACATACTATCAAATTCTGGAAAAGACCAATGCAAATCTAATCCCATTAATGTGTACAAAGGCATTGTGGACTATGAAAAGATATTTGACTCTAAATTAATGCATATTAAAAGGCATTTGGCTCTAAATACAATAATCCAAGCGCTCACAAACTAAGGCCTACATATACACTGTACAGATAAAATTACACTTTTGTTTTATTTAAAAAATGAAGTTAGACATTGCATGCAACAACAAAATTCATATCAGAAATTCAATCAAACATGGCTACAAAGCTTTTGCGAATTATCCAGTGAGATTAGTATTGTTTAAACATTCGATTTGTGGAATAAATACATAAACATTAATGCCAACAATAGTAACCATCCCAGATTTGCGTACGAGTCATTACAGGCAGTGGACAATCAACAGAAAATGACTGAATAAAATTACTGAATAAATTAATGACTACACCGTCATCATGGATAAAACCACATACAACAACAAAATCCAGGGCCTTCTTAATGATGGCAGTTATACCAAAATCAACAAAGATCCTACCAACCGCCTGGCTACAAAAACCAACAATATCACACTAATGCGACTTCTATAATCGAACCGACCAAGCAGCTCTAAAACCTTCGGCTGCTAGACCTCCCAGATTTTATGGCCTTCCAAAAATTAATAAAGGTACTCCACTCTATCCTATCGTTTCCACCATAAACTCACCTACCTACAAACTGGCCCGATTTATGTCTGCAAGGCCACCTCAGCAGTACTTAACTCAGCTCACTTGGTTTCTCTAATCAAGGACATTTCACTGTCTCCAGATGATTTGCTTGTCAGCTTCGATGTAGTCTCTCTGTTCACCAAGGTACCTGTACCTGACACCATAGCAATCATTGAAGACTTGGTCCAACAGGGACTGAATCCTGATGTACCAACTTTGGTGAGGCACTGTCTTACCAACACTTACTTCATCTGAAATGGTACATTCTACAAACAAAATTAAAGTACCCCTATGCGTTCTCCCTTATCACCAGTGGTAGCGAATGTTTTCATGGATAAATTTGAAACAGATGCCATCCTGACATCCACCCTACGTCCTTCCCTGTGGAAGAGATACATAGATGACACGTTTCGACCATAACACAAACGACCGTTTGTGTTATGGTCGAAATGTCGTGATAATTTTTATTGTTTTATATATATTTTATTATTTTATTGTTTCCCTTCAACGTGACTTTACCGAAAGAACTAAGAATATGAATTACTGCAGTCACGAAAGCTTTAAATCAAAATATAACATCTTGTTGTAACAGCTCTCTCGCTGTGTTTCTTCCTGGTTCAGCAGTTCCACTGCTGGATTATTTTTTTCCGCCTGAGGACGACCGCTTGTGTTGCGATCGAAACGTCGTGATATATTATTTTTTATTTTATTTTTCTACCTATGTGACTTTACCGAAAGAACCAAAGAGTAATAACTATAAAGTTAGGGTCAATATAAAAATTATCTAAGCAAGTCATATACTGCGAGCTTTCTAAAATATTAAAGGCATCTGTAAGTGGGACAACCTGAAATCATGAGTATGTATAACTTTGGCAATTATTAAAATAATTGAGGGATAACAATAATTAAATATATGAGCTGAATAAAGAAAAGCAACATTATTCATGTTCCTCTAGAAAGATATATCAATGTATAACACCTACCATGAAACTAATACAAATATATACACGATATATATACACAAATGGGCATTGACAGAGAAAAAAATGGAACAAAAGCTGAAAAAAGCAAAAATAAACATTCTGAGATGCACGCTTGTCATTACACATAAAGAAATAAAACTGTGGAACACATGCAGCGTGCGTTATAGCGTCTGTTAAAAAGTGGGCTCGGGGCAGGACACGTCGCTAGTTATAGATATGACGGCCAGTGGTTCTGGACCAGACATGGGCAGCGTACGGCCCCTGGGCTTTTTAATCCGGCCCGCCGAACTTGGCCAAATATGTATACCAGGCGAGGTAATTAACATCTCGCCATCGGGGCGCCCTCCAGAGGTGGTTTGCGGCTTTGAGAGGTCTTCATTGAGCAGCTAGATAATAGATAATGGGAATGACTTTACTTTCAGATTGTGATAATCTTGTCATATTATTTTACTTTTGGCAAATAACTGTGCTAATAAAGTATATTTAGATTGTAAGCTGTACTTTTCTTCTTTTGAACCCATGTATCATTTTTAAATCTCAACGCGCGAATGTAAATGGTTCAATGGTATTTTGGTTTAAATGTACACACCTAAAATTATCTCTTACACAACCCCAGCAGCCGCGCGGCGTGCTGTAAATGCATCATTAGGGCAGCACTGATTCAAGGCAAGAAAATTGTGAACCGGTTTCGAGAAGTCTCATCTAATAGGCATGGACACTCTTTTCAGATATTCCTTCGTTATTTTGTATTCTCCAATACTGATTGGATCATATTGCTTCAAACTCATATTTTTAAAGAGGGTTATTATTATTCTTGGGTCTTTCGGTAAAGTCACGCAAGACCAGCAGTTCACCAGCATCGGTTGAAGGAAGCCCAACAGCTGATGAGTTGCTTGTTTTGAAATCATTGCTGCTGTAATTATGCAATCCCAGGTGAGCTGTATATTTTTGTTTTACTTTGTATATGTTGAGACGGATATAAAAAGGTGACGCCGCTTGCTTTAGGTGTAACATCAAAAGTCTTAATAACGTGCTGCGGGAATAACATAGGCCATTGGCGACTTAACGCGCCGTATATTGACGGAAGGGCCGTTTTTTCCCCCCGTTTGAACAAATTAAACAAGGCACAAATTACGTTCTTGGTTCTTTCGGTAAAGTCACGTAGAAGGGAAACAATAAAATAAAAAAAGTTTTATATTTTTATTATTTTATTGTTTCCCTTCTACGTGACTTTACCGAGAAGAATAGAACCAAGAATATGAATCCCTGCAGTCACGAAAGCTTTAAATCAAAAGGCACAAATTGTCACAACAGCAGACCACACGTTAAGTCAGCTCGGGCAGTGGGGAAACACCCTTGCACACGACGCATACGCTGCGAAACCAAAGTGAATCGGACGACCAAGGCTGAGATCGCCGAGACGTTTGATTCATTTACGTGGAGTAAAGTTCGCGCTGCCGATTCACAGCCCACGCAGCGGACTGGAAAGACGCGCGACCCTGCCTTGTCGAGAACCAGTTTCACCGCAGCGTAGTCATGTTCGTCCTATGGGAAGTACAATTTTAAGATTTTTAAAAAATATATATATATATGAAGACAATTACCAGAGATGACAATCAAAAAAATTGTTCGAGTAAATAATTAATAACGAAATTGCCACACCAAAAAACACAGCGGCTTGCGACTTTCCGTCGCGCAAGGGCAGCGATGGTGCACGGCACACGTGGGACAACCCGGAAGGTCACCGCACCGGGGTGGGTGGGGGGACGCCTACGGATAACCGGAGTGGCCAATAATGAAAGTTATAACGCGATTTTTTTTTTAAAAAAAAAGTCTATAGACTGGTGGTGACTACAGTTTCAGATTTAAAGCTTTCGTGACTGCAAGGATCCATACTCTTTGGTTCTATTCGGTTGTTTTATTTTTTTTACCTACGTGACTTTACCGAATAGAACCAAAGAGTATGGACTACAGTTTCCACGCCTGATGCGATTAATGATATCTGCCCCCGCTCCTCCTCGGCTGGAGTTCAACACGATTACTTAAACGAAGTCTTTAGTTTCTCACGGAATATTTTCTGGGGTACCCACCACCACCACGCCCCGATTTGTCGGGGGGGAGTGTAAATATTTTCCGGAACTCAGCCCCGGATGAAATTGCCGTATCCAGTGCACGGGCAAGGGGTCACCCAATTAGTCCGTAGGCATGGAGGGGGGAGGGGGGTTAACACAAATGCGTACACTTGTGTATGGGGGTTAACACAAATGCGTACGATTGTGTATGGGGGTTAACACAAATGCGTACACTTGTGTGTGGGGGTTAACACAAATGCGTGTGCTTGTGTGTGGCGGTTAACACAAATGCGTACACTTGTGTATGGGGGTTAACACAAATGCGTACGATTGTGTATGGGGGTTAACACAAATGCGTACGCTTGTGTATGGGGGTTAACACAAATGCGTGTGTGGGGGTTAACACAAATGCGTGTGTGGGGGTTAACACAAATGCGTACACTTGTGTGTGGGGGTTAACACAAATGCGTACACTTGTGTATGGGGGTTAACACAAATGCGTACACTTGTGCATGGGGGTTAACACAAATGCGTGTGCTTGTGTTGTGGGGGTCTACTACAATGTGCGTGCGCATAGGAACCTGTGTGGGGGGGGGGGGGTGTGAAGCTTCGATAATTTGTCTACATTGGCCTTCAAATGAGTTAAGATAGTCCGGCGATGGACTGTTTGCTTAAACACGTTAATATTATATTCTTGGTTCTTCCGGTAAAGTCACGAAGATAGAAAAATAAACATTGTATATATGAAAAAAGCGGTCTTCATCCTGCCTGATGAAGACCGCTTGGTGTTGCGATCGAAACGTCGTGGGGGTTTTTTTAGCTTTTATATTTTATTTTCTATCTACGTGACTTTACCGAAAGCAAGCGTATGAATTCCTGCAGTCACTCAAGTTTTAAGTCAAAATGTAACTAAGTTAATATTATTAATTCTCGTGCGTTTCTGCGTGGATTAAATATCGGCCGTTCTATAGGATTCTGGTGTGGGGGGGGGTAAAAAAGTTCGCGTGCGTACACAGAGAGAGGGGGGGAAGGAGTCAAGTTTTGACAGATCTTTGTGTACCTACTAAACGGATGGCCCCTATACAATACCGCGATGTGTAAATTCAGCAATTGCTGAAAGAATCTCTCTCGATAGCGTCTCCCTGACAGCAGCATTTCAGACATGGGCATTCGTTCACTATTAATAGGTGAATAACAGTAATGGTACGTTGAACGTCCCGAGCTGCTCACATTAGATGAGCCAACGAGTTTTAATAATGCTATTAATATCGTGCTACACTGTCCCACGGTAAAATTAAGCGGGCACCGCCTTTTATACGGGTCACTCGTCATGGGGCGTACCATCTGGGTCTTCCGGAATAGGGGGGGAGGGGTTGGACGTCTTACGTAAGTCAATAGGCGCGTTAATAAGTACGTTAACGTTGCACTAAGTACTCTCGCTGATTGTTATTTAGTAGCTGCCTGAGCTAAGGTACACTATATAGTTATTTACATTTATAATATAATACTATGTACTACGCTAATCAAGCAGGCACCGCCTTTTATACCGTCACGTGTTATGGGGCGTACCATCTGGCTCTTCCGGAATAGGGGGGATGGGGGGGAGTGGTTTGGAGATCTCATAGAAGTCAATAGGCGCGTTGGTAAGTACGTGAGAAGTTGCACCAATTACTCTCGCTGGTGTCAATTAATAACTTGTCTGTGCTACGCTCCTGTACAAGTGTTTGACGTCTATAGTTCGGAGTGTTGTTGAGCTGCTGCGACAACAGCGACGCTTACGTGCAGGACGTGTGTCTTAAGAGGGCGTAACATCGACGTGTTTATTTAGGCCACTTAAACTGAAATGTGTGAGATTCGGATTTTATTTTTGTTTTTTTTTTTAAACCGCGTTTTTAAAAATGCTTGCGACTCTGCTCGTCACGTTGACGAAGCGTGTCCGTTGTGTCACCCGTGTGCCCTAATCGTTAACGGAGATTAACGCTGCAACGCGCTTGTTGCGAACTGCGAGGGATTGGAAACGCGCTCCTTACTTTCTTAAGGCCGAGTGACCAAACGTTACATTTTCCAGCGCGCATAAGCACTGAACGTGATGACCTATGTTTATACGCTGTAGGATATCTATAACCTGCCAAATATTTGATGTGGCATTTTGAAAAGTCCATACCAGATTAGTTTCATTTGCCGATACCAGTTGAGATGGCAAAACTTAGGAGGTTCCAATTTCGCTATGTGGCAAATGCCAGTGGTGCATACCTTGTCAACCCCTTATCAGTGCCTACTACCTAATTACAGACAAATTCAGACCTTATTGGTCATCCCGTGCCCTTATACATCCCAACGTTCATCCGACAAAGTCCCATCACAAGGGACAAACAAATAGACAACGTAATAAAAAAATTGCCCGTATTGAAATAGCTATACGCCGTATGGACCTCAAGACACAATTTCCCTGTACAAGAACGCGGGTAAACCGTATGGGTTGACAGCCGTGATGGTGTCTGTGCTAACCGTTTGAAATGAGCGGAGTTATCAAATATTCATAGTATCTCACCCGGATTCGGAATAACGCTGGCGAACACAGTGGAACAGCACACACGTCCAGAATAAACACGTCATTCGAGAGCCAAACATCATCTCACCTCCTGGCTTTTGACATTTCTCCTTTTCGAAGACACCGGTGGCGGGACCATCAACCGCATCGGAACATCAACAGGCCGTTCGTTGTACGCATCTCCTTCATGAATGGAAAATAAAAGACAAACACAACTTCACAATCCCAGTTCTGCTATAATAGATATCACAGAGGAATGTGCTTTTTGTGCAGAGGCGATGGCGAGTAAGTCTGACGTTCTCCAAGCCTGTATTTACAGCTGCGTCCAATGGCACAGTTTTAACACTTTGCAAGAGTGGGGTGTTTTTCTTATGAATTTCACGTGTTTGTTTTTCCCTTCTCCACAGTTATATTAGGGCAGACGACGATGAGCAGGCATGTTTCGCAAGGGGAAAAAGCGGCACAACAGCAGCAGCTCACAGGGCAGTGAAATCAGTGCAAAGAGCAAGGTACTGCACACACACACACTACAGGTGGTCTGCTAAGGAGGTCTTTGTGTTTAGCTCTCCGATGTGTTTTCGGGTTGTTACTGCTGCATGTCGTTCGACATGATGTCCAACGTTTCAATACCAGTGCCGGGAGTTTCGCCAGGAACTGAGTTTAGTATCTCACTTTCCTTTATGAATTATATATCGTTGCTTGATGCGGCTGGTGTTTCTGGGTCCTGATGAGGGGGTTGGCTGAGCTCCATCATCTCCCAAATTAGGCCAGCCAATGTTGTCTTTTCATCGTCTGGGAGGAAACCAGAGCACCTTGAGGAAGCTCACCACCAATGCATATGAAGAACCCAGAGAAAGCTCACCGGCATCCATACAAGGGGGATAGCGCTCTCTACAAACCCGCAAAACGTACGGGTTTCACGAACCCACTTGCTGCACTGCCATATTGCTGTGATCACCTGGCCTATGTGAGAGGACAGCCAATCAGCATCAAGAACCGGCAACGCCAGCAGTATCGGGCAATGCTTTATTATTGTGAGAGAAAGTGAGTTGGTCATGTCAGTTCCTGAAGCAGCTTCCGGCATGTGGAGCGAAACGTCGGACAACATACAAGCCAAAAACTCATCAGGAGACTACACAGCACAACCGCAAACACTTTCGCAGTAAAATTTTGATTTAAAGCTTTCGTGACTGCAGGGATTCATATTCTTGGTTCTTTCGGTAAAGTCACCACGTAGAAGGGAATCAATAAAATAATACAAATATAAAACAATAAAATTCTCACGTTTCGACTGCAACACAAGCAATCAAACCACACCTGATGATTACCAAAAGAACCAAGAATACCTACGTAGTAGTTCTCTTTATGTAATTGCATTCCTTTGTACTAGTTACTGCTTAGTTTACGTTAATAAATAAACATACATTCCGTATCCCTGCAGCATATATTTTTTTTCGTTTGGCAGCCTATTACCCTTCCACACGTTTGTTAACAAACGACGTTTGTTCGTTAAGTCTGGAAGTCCAAGTAAAAAGGAAATATTTTCCACATACAAATAAAAAAATTATTCTGCTGGACTATCGATCTTCAAAAATAATGTTAGCCAGCAGCATGTGTTGGGTTACATAAGCCTGCAAGGTCATTACACATCTAAACTAAACATATACATTTTTTGAAATTTTATATTGCAGGGAGATGAAAGGTATGGTTATTTTTTTATTAATTCAAACTAAGCAAACAAGACTGAAACAAATGTACAAACACAAAGAGGACTGAATGCTGATGTCCCGGCCCTGGTGAGACACTGCCTCACCAATGCTTACTTCACCTGAAATGGTACATTCTACAAACAAGTTGAAGGTACCCCAATGGGTTCTCCCTTATTTCCAGTGATAGCCAATGTTTCATGGAAAAAATTGAGACAGATGCCATCCAGGCATCCATCCTACGTCCTTCCTTGTGGAAGAGATACATAGATGACACGTTTGTCATCTGGCCACATGGCCTGCCAGCTCTGAACCAATTCTTCAACCACATCAATTCCATACACCCAGCCATCAAATTCACCATGGAGGTGTAAAAGGATGGCAAGTTACCATTCTTGGATGTTTTAATCGAAAAGAGACCAGATGG